ATTATTTAGGGGTTTTCCACATAAATTTTGTGTCTCTTTTATCTTCACTTTTTTATTTTCTCAAATTATCAGTTGCGTTTTTACTCTATCTGATAGTTGTCTTCCGCAACAATTGCTATCAGAGCCAGATTAGAGTGTGTAATATCTACTTATTGTCTTTGTGGTTGCTACCAAAAAGTGGATCCTCCAACATAAGAAAGTAAGAAGATATTACCCATTCTTTGAAGGTCCAGAGAACTATTCACGATAGTAAAATAGTAGGAGCTATCCGTAATTGAAGCTATGACAACGAAATTTGATATTGAAAAATTCAATGGGAGAAATGTCTCATTGTGAAAATTGAAGATGAAGGTCATCCTGAGGAAAGACGGTTGTCTAGCAGCTATCAGTGAAAGGCCGGTAGATTTCACAGATGAAAACAAATGGATCGAAATGGACAGGAATGATATGGTAAACTTTCATCTAGCATTAGCAGATGAAGTATTGTCAAGCATCAAGGAGAAGAAGACAACTAAGGAGATATGGGATCATCTCACCAAATTATACGAGGCCACACCGCTGCACAATAAAATTTTCCTTAAGAGGAAATTGTACACTCTCCGGATGCCAGAATCTACTTCAGTGAAGGAGCACTTAAACACACTGAACATGTTATTTTCTTAGCTTACATCCTTAAGATGTATAATAGGAGAACAAGAACGTGTTGAACTTCTACTTCAAAGTTTACATGATTCATATGATCAACTCATCATCAACTTGATAAACAATAATGTCACCAGTCTAGTCTTCGATGACGTTGCAGCTGCTGTTCTCCAAGAAGAAAATCGGCGCAAGAACAAGGAAGACAGACAAGTAAATCTGCAACAAGCAGAAACGTTGACAACGATGAGAGGGAGATCAAAAGAACGTGGCCAAAGCAGTAGTCACAAACATGGTAGATCGAAGTCGAGGAGCAAGAAGAATTTAAAGTGCTACAACTGTGGAATGAAGGGTCACTTGAAAAATTATTGTTGGAGTCTAAATAAAAACTCCAATCCATAAGGCAATACCACAAACACTTCAGACGATGAAGATGCTCTATGCTGTGAAGCGTCAATCACCGTGGAAGGTAGAAAAAGATATGCAGATATATGGCTCATTGATTCGGGAGCAACATATCACATGACCTCAAGAAAAGAATGATTCCATCATTATGAACTTGTCTCAGGAGGATCTGTGTATAGTTGCAATGATCATGCCTTAGAGATCATTGGCGTGGGAACCATCAAATTGAAGATGTATGATGGAACAATTAAAGTTGTTCAAGATGTGCGGCACGTGAAAGGTCTGAAGAAAAAATTTATTATCCTACGAATTGTTAGATAATAATGCAAGCAAGATTGAAACATGGAAAAGAATCATGAAGGTGTTCCGTGGAGCGCTTGTGGTGCTGAAAGGAGAAAAGATAGCTGCAAACTTGAACATCCTGAAGGGAGACTTTGCTAGAAGCAGAAGCCTTTGTTGCCTCATGTAGTTCAAATTCTGCAATGATATGGCATCAGAAACTTGGACACATGTCAGAACAAGGAATGAAAGTCCTTGTGGAGCAAAAGTTACTTCCAGGCTTAACAAAGGTATCACTTACTTTGTGTGAGCATTGCATAACAAGTAAGCAACACCGGTTGAAATTCAACACATCAAATTCTAGAGGCAAAAATGTTCTAGAATTGGTTCATTCTGACGTATGGCAAGCATCAGTTACATCCCTAGGTGGAGCAAAATACTTTGTCTCATTTATTGATGACTACTCCAGGAGATGTTGGGTGTATCCTATTAAAAAGAAGCCAGATGTGTTTTCAACTTTGAAAAACTTTAAAGCGCGAGTGGAACTTGATTATGGAAATAAGATCAAGTGTTTCAGAATATATAATGAATGAGAATACACAAGCGAAGAATTTGATGGCTTTTGCAAGAAAGAAGGCATCAAAAGACAGTTCACAGTGGCGAACACTCCTCAACAAAATGGAGTGGCAGAGCGGATCAACAGAACCTTGTTAGAAAGAACAAGAGCAATGTTGAGGGATGCTGACTTAGAAAAATCATTATGGGCAGAAGCAGTCAATATCGCCTGTTATTTAGTGAATTGAGCTCCATCAACTGCAATAGAGCTAAAGACACCAATGGAGATGTGGACTGGTAAACCAGCTGATTATTCAAACCTCCATGTATTTTGAAGTGTTGTGTACGTGATGTACAACTCCCAAGAAATTTCAAAGTTGGATCCAAAATCCAGGAAATCTAAATTCTTGGGGTATGCTGATGGTGTAAATGGGTATCGCTTGTGGGATCTCATTGCCCACAAAGTGATCATCATCAGGGATATTATCTTTGTAGAAGATAAACTAAAAAGAAAAAAAAGACGATGATAGAACTGAAAAGTCAGAGACTGCATAGATACATGTGGAAAATGAGGTTGAACAAGGAGATTTTTCTGAAGTAGAACCAGCACATGATAAATAAGAACCAGAGAGTTCTGAAGCTCCAACAACTCATCAATCAGATCATGTGAGATGACGTCCCAATTGGCACTCAGATTATGTTATAGAAGGTAATATTGCATACTGCCTTTTAATAGAGGACAATGACCTATCAACATACCAGGAAGCAATAAACAACTCATATGCTTCATTATGGATGATGGTGATGCAAGAAGAAGTTGAAGCCCTTCATAAAAATAATACATGAGACCTTGTGCCACTACTACAAGGAAGGAAACCAATTGGTAACAAATGTGTCTTCAAAATCAAGCGAAATGGTGACGATCAAGTGGAGAGGTATCGTGCAAGACTGGTGGTCAAAGGATATGCTCAAAAAGAAGGTATTGATTTCAATGAAATCTTTTCTCCTGTGGTTCGACTAACAACAGTTCGAGTAGTTTTGGCAATGTGTGCTACATTGAACTTACATCTAGAGCAACTAGATGTTAAACAACTTTTCTTCATGGAAATCTTGAAGAAGAGATTTATATGCTCCAGCCTGAAGGTTTTGAAGAAAAAGAAAAGAAGAACTTGGTTTGCAGGTTAAACAAATCTCTGTACGGTCTAAAGCAGGCACCGAGGTGTTGGTATAAGAGATTTGATTCTTTCATTATGTACCTTGGATACAACAGACTTAATGCATACCCTTGTGCTTATTTCAAGAGGTCTGGTGATAACGATTTTGTTATATTGTTGTTGTATGTGGATGACATGTTTGTTACAGGACCCAACAAAGATCATATTGAAGAATTAAAGGCACAACTGGCTAGGGAATTTGAAATGAATGACTTGGGATCAGCAAACAAGATTCTAGGGATGAAAATTCACCGAGATAGAAGTAATAGGAAGATTTGGCTTTCACAAAAGAATTATTTGAAAAAGATCTTGTCACGATTCATCATGCAAGATTGTAAGCCAATTTCTACCCTCTTAATTCCTATAAACTTCAAATTATCCTCCAGTATGAGTCCTAGCAGTGAAGAAGAGAGGATGGAGATGTCTGAGTACCATATGCATCAGCAGTGGGAAGTTTAATGTTCGCTATGATATGCATAAGACCAGACATTACACAAGCAGTAGGAGTGATTAGTCGGCACATGGCGAATCCAGGCAAAGAGCATTGGAATACAATAAAGAGGATCCTGAGATACATCAAAGGGACCTCAAATGTTGCATTATGTTAAGAAGGATCAAATTTACTTATCAATGGGTATGTTGATTCTGACTATGCAGAGGATTTGGATAAAAACAAATCTACTACATGATATGTGTTCAAAGTTGCTGGTGGAGCTGTAAGCTAGGTTTCAAAGTTGCTGGTGGAGTTGTAAGCTGGGTTTCAAAATTGCAATCAGTTGTGGCTACATCCACAACAGAGGCAGAATATGTAGCAGCTACACAAGCCAGTAAAGAAGCAATTTGGTTGAAGATGCTATTGGAGGAACTTGGGCACAATCAAGAGTATCTCTCTCTATTTTGTGACAGTCAAAGCGTCTTGCATCTAGCAAGGAATTCAACATTTCATTCAAGGACAAAACACATACGAGTTCAGTACTATTTTATTCGTGAAAAGGTGGAAGAATGGACAATAGATATGCAGTAGTTCCATACTAAAGACAACATAGCATATTTTATGATGAATGTGATCAATGCCGATAAATTTACTTGGTGTCGATCCTCTTGTGGCCTGTTAGAGACGTAAGCAACATGAAGGTACAATGTAGAAAGAATGATGGGAGATTGTTGAAAATCTACCGAAAGGTGGAATTAATCCACAGAAAAGTGGATTTAAAATCTACCGAAAAACAAAATGTCAAAAATGGTTGGTTAATTGTTGAAAATTAGCAATGGTATAATTGTATATTTTAGTCATTGTAATTTAGGGTATTTACAAATTAGTCCTTAAGCTTCAACTATAAATATCCTAGCTCATTTAGCTTCAAAACCATCCCAAATCATTCTAGCTTTCTCCCAATACTAGAGAATTTAGAGAGTTTCTTGAGAGTTGTTTTCTCCTTTTTATCAAGAGAGAATTATCATTGTTTTCTCCTTGGTAGATCGAGAGAAGTTGTAATTCCTATTTTCTCATAGTGAAATTCTTCTACCGTTGCACGTGGTTTTTACCCTATATTATTTAGGGGTTTTCCACGTAAAATTTTTGTCTCTTTTATCTTCAATTTTTATTTTATCAAATTATCAGTTGCGTTTTTACTCTATCCGATAGCCGTCTTCCGCAACAAAAAATAATCTCGAACAGGAAGCTAGATGACCATTTGATCCGAACAGCTAGCTCATAAAATCGACCTCCGAAAACGAACGGAAAACAAATTCTCCTGCAACTAAGTTTTAATTCTTTTAAGCGGGGAAATGAGAGTGAACCTTCTTTGAGACGATGTTATTCAGTTTTTGGAGCTGGTTGGTATCGGAACTCCGGTTGATTTTAACAAAACCGTAGAATACTGGCAACAAGACAAGTGGACTTGCCACTTCCCTGTGAAGTGGCACATCATTAAGAATGTGCCGAACACTTCACTGAGGCACGTAACACTCGAGAACAATGAGAACAAGCCTGTTACTAATAGTAGGGACACCCAAGAGGTATTCTCTCTCTTTCACTATATGTTTTACTTGGACTCGAATGAGTGTTGGATATGGGTATGCACCTGTAACTGGTTGATGTTTCCAAGTTCTTTCAAACATTTGGGGAACCATACCCTTATATGCATAGGTCACATATTTCTCCTTTCCGTGATATTTTCATCATCCTGGTTGTAAAACAGCTGGTGGCTGCTACAGGTTAATTTTGAGCAGGGTCTCAAAATCTTTAAAGATCATTCCAGTAAGACATGCATTCTCGAAGATTTCGAATTCTACGAGGCTCGTCAAAGGATAATCCAAGAGAAAAGGCTAAGCATCAGGTGTCGCAGAAATAGGTATATCTGACTCTTGTTTGAATTGTATCCTGATTTTGCATTTGTTCACCGGGTATTACTTACAGTATGCTTTTCATCCTTTTAGAATCCTATAAATGACATTGCATAAACTGCGCAAGTATCAATTTCTTTATATTCTTCTGAAACAGGTTTTGAGTGGGGAGCCTAATGATGATGCTGTAACCGATAACAAAGAAAATACAGCAATGACAAACAAGAACTTGGAAAAATCTTTAGAGGCTGCCTTGGTAGAAGAACCAACTTTTCCATCAACAGACAATTTAGTCAAGGCGAATGGGAATGTGAAACCCTTACAAGAGAACAGATCAGTTGCCTCAACTGAAGGCGACGAAAGCAGTTCATGAGTGCTTGCTATAATTGGCTTCAAAGATATAGAATAGGAGTGTACTTTGGGTTGGTTTATTAACAAGACTAGCTAATTTACATCAACTATTGTGACTCTCTTAGCACCCTTTCAGCCTCTTTTGCATGGTGAGGCAATCTTGACTGCTCCACGCCCGCCTGAGTTTTTCCTTGTTGTTTGTGATTTTCATCTGTTCCCCTTTGTTTTTATTAATGAGAAAGAGTTGGAAGGGTAAGAAATTGCCCAAGGACAAAGATGTATTTATACTTGGCGTTTATTCAATTTATTTTAGTAACATTTTTTGTCATCTTGTATGCTGGATAAAATACAAATATATGAACGTTTCAAAATCAATATGAATTACGAACAAATCATTCGAATTGCTAAGGGGTAGCATCAAGGTCTTGCAACATCTACTTCTATACAATCCAACGACAATAAGGTTTCTACACGTTGACCTGTAAGCACTGGAATTTTTCTTCTTCTAAATTTTAAATGGTTCACACCTTTGTAACGAATCCTATCTCCATTGGTGAATTACAGTTGCAATTACTTCCTAAATTCTGAAAAGAGTGCCGAAAACATCATAATGGACAATTTAATGGAACATCTCAAATCATGCAAAATACGTATCATTATTGGCATTGTGGAAGCAGCCTACAGGTTGGGCAGTACGATTTTCCCTTGAATCTTGTTTCCGGTGTCAGCCCCACACATGCATAATGGAACCATTCACCTCCTTGGCACTGAATAAATAGAAATGTTAGTGACACCTATGCTCGAATCATCATATTCAAACATGGTATGGGGGATATAATCTATCAAGAACCTTCGAAATGCATGAAAATATTGGATAAGTTTTGAACAATTCCTAAACTTGATGCGATTAATATGAGAAACCTAAACGATTAACAGTTAAATATAACACAGGCAAGTAAGGAAATACGAATACTACTAAATAAATAAATAAAGAGATGAAGACATAAGAGGAAATAACTCACATCTTCATTGTCACAGGCAATCATATCTCCAAATGACACCTAAATAAGGTTCAGAACAAATGCCTCTAAATCAAGAAACAACGAGAAAAAACACAAGTAAATCAGTACCGAAAACCTAAAACAAGGCAGAACCTGATGGCAGACACAATAAGTAGGTTCATTTGGATCAATGGGTTGATCAACATCAAGAGGGCGAGCAAAATCTTTCTTATGGCTTCCCGGAGGAGGCATGAGCTCAAAATCCCTATCACGTTCTCGATCCCAGTCTCTATCCCTGTAATCCAGCCTCTTTGATTGGGATGTAAAATAAATGGGCTTGCACTTCTCGAGCTTAGGTACAATAGGCAATGGAGGAAGAATTGCAGGCTCATCTGGTGAAATTTTTCGTTCTTATAAAATTGCAGGAAGAAACGTATAGTGACAAATGTTAACAACCTGGCATTTTGTCCATTAATGATGTTCAATTTTGATAGCTATTACTGTACCGTGCTTTAGATCTTCCGCAAAGTAGGTCAAATCCTCGTCCAGACGCTTTACATGGCTATCAATCTGAAACAAGTATCAGTTATAAAATTTGGTGAGCTTTAAATCAATATGATTCAAAAAATGACAGCAGCTCGAGAAGCTGTGTACGAAAATAACCCAGGATGGTTTTGAACTACATTGTATCCGTAATTGTGACTGAACAAGATGAAGATCGACTTCTCTTAGAAAGGGAAGAATTGCTTCCAAAAGTAAGCTGTTATTTAGATGGAACCAGACTTCTAGTCCTCTTCACTCTTCATTCAAACATTACAGTAACCAAGTAAAAACACTTATAGCTACATCCTACATGATACAAACAACTATCTTAAGTTTGTTACCACTGATGACTTGAACTCAGATATGCTGATTTAAACTTGAAAAGGTGCGCAAGATATCAATATCATGGCGTTCCACGCTATCATATCACAATAAACCTCAATCCTCAATGACATCAGAATAATTATTTACAAAGAAACGCATAGCCGATTGCAAATACTCACCAAATCATAAGCTTGTCGTGCCAACAAAACCTTCTCGGTGCACAAACTCAAGGCATTTTCTTGACTTGCCTCTATATCTTTCTTCATTTTCTCAATGGTCTCCTCATCCTCATGACTACTGTTCATATAACTATTTCCGTTCCCTCTTTTCGCCACCAATCCTAAACTATACTTAGTCTGTTGTCTCGCCTGATTAATCATAGTTTCGAGAAAAAAAATTAATCAAAATTCCCCAAATTTAGAAACCTAATCATTGAACTCCAAAATTTTTATGGCTTACATGGGGACCTTTCATCAAGTTCGCGGATTGTATTGAGGAGTCTCTGAAGCTCAGCAGGTAGTGTGCTGACGTCTATTGGAAATTTAAAAAGGAAAAAAATTGAAACTTTAAATTAAATATGAGATTGAAGCTCTAAATTAATTATAAAAAAATCATAAAAAGTTAAAATTTGACGTGAGAACATTGAGCAATGCGATTGGTACATACACTCCAGATAATCGTCGACGTAGACGCCAGTTCTCGCGATCGCCATTTTTCTTCTTCTGAGATTTGGGGGTTTCGGGTTTTGAATTGAGAGATTCCGCGAATTTGATTTCTAGGTTTCGGGCTGGGATTAAAGAAACCAAGGGTGAATAAAATTAGGTTTTTGACCGTTGTGAAAGCGGGGGAAATGATCAGTAAATATGCTTCATGTTATTGTACTTTTATAATGGGTAAAATACAACATTAGTCATCAATCAATTACTGTTTTTCATGGGTAAACTACACCATTAACTACTTAATTTAGGGCGATTCTATTTTTACCATGGTTCTTTTAATTTTTTTCAATCAAATCACTTAACTATTTAAACGTTGTCAATCAAGTTGTTCATCATTAGCATTTGACAGAAGAACTGACATGGTTGTTAAAAAGAATGATATATTTATACATTGGTCTTCATTACTTACACATGCAATCAATTTGATCTAAATTTATTGAATTAAATTAAAATTAAGATCCAATTGATTGAATCTGTAAGTAATGAGAATCGAATGTGTAATTATACCATTTTTTTTAACTATCACTTCAATTCTTTCATCAAATATTAACAACAGATGACTTGATTAACAATGTTTAAATAATTAAATAATCTAATTGATAAAATTAAAAGATCGATAGTTAAAATAAAATTTTCTCATAATTAAATAGTGATATATGTAGTTTATCATGTTTTTATTTTACACACTAAATTTCTTTTTGACAAAATCACTATTAATTTTATTTTTTCTATTTTAATAAAATAAAAAATTATTAAGTGACCTTTTATATAATTTATTGTTTCGAAAATAATTTTATTTTATTTTATAAATTTGAGATGACATGAAATAATATCTGTTCACTTAAATACAAATTTCTTAATTAATGAGGTCATTTAATTATGTCAAAATAATTTAAAAATAAACAATATTGACGTCAAAACCCCCATGGGTGTCTATAAATATACCAAATTTTAAACTGCGAAAAAACTCGGAAGGCTGAGATCGACCCCCAACAAACCGTTGAACCCGGTAATTCTCAACCGTAATAGAGTCAACTATTTTTAATAGGGAGATCTAGGGTACAAAAATTCCCAAATTCATCTAACCACCGCCTCATAAACTGTCAAAACTCTCATCATCCAATCCACACTCTCGAGAAATCCCAATTCGTTTCTCTACTTGGGTCTGTTTCTCTTATTTATAAACTCTAACCAAAGCCTATAAAAGACCCTTCTTTTCAAACATTTCCTCTATTTTTCCCTCTCTTTTCTTTTTGTAGCTTTACACCTTTGTTTCCCGACTTTTTTTTTTTGAAAACGTGTTGAACTTTATTAGATCTGGCTCGATCTGGTTTTGTTTTGGATATTCTGTTCATGACCTCCAAAATTTCTTGATTTCTCTAATTTTAAAACCCTATTTTGTTTATAAACATGTTGAATTTGATTAATTTTTGGTAAAATACGATCTGGGTTTTTTGTTTTTAGATATCTAGAGAAACAATCGAATTCTTGACGAAATTTTGGGGGAGAAGCAAAAAAGGAAATGGCAGAACAAGGAGGCTTGGAAGGGAGCCAACCAGTTGATCTTTCTAAGCACCCATCTGGTATTGTTCCCATTCTCCAGTAAGTCTCCTTGTTGCCTCTCTTTTCTTTGATTCTGACGCGTGCAATTTTATAAGCTGAATGGGATACTAGCGCGTGGATGCTATGATCTTTGGGTTATTGGAGATACGTGTTCAATAAATTTATTCGAAAAAAGGTTGCGTCTTGGGAGCATGCATCTCTAATTCGTGCTAGACCATTTCTTGATGATAAGTTCGTGGAGAGGTATTTCTTGCGTTGGATTGTGTAAGGGAATTTGGTTAGGGGGATGGGTTTTGATCATATATGTGGGAAGAAGGTGATTTAGTTGATATGCATGTGAGCTTGTTAAAAGTATTCAAGACAGATGCTAGACATTAAGCAAATCATGCATATTGGGCAACAAAAGGGAGAAAAAAATTTCAGGTTTTGTAGGATAAACTGGACCACTGATAATATTTTATTATCAATTTACATATATTAAGCTTATTATTATTATTATATATGTATACACATACATACATACACTCAAATATACGTATGTGTGTGTATAGACAGACTCGTACTAAAACATGCATTATGCAGATTACGCAGTGCAACACAGGCAATATAAGAGTTTGAGTGGCTAGAGTGTGCCTTGCATCCTTGACAACCATGCCCTTAATCCTCTATAGATGACTGCAATTGGTATATGGAAATCTTAGTATTAGTATTATTGTTTTTTAGGAACATCGTATCAACTGTGAACTTAGATTGCAAGTTGGATCTTAAGCAAATTGCACTGCAAGCCCGAAATGCCGAATACAATCCCAAGGTATGCTTGGGATGGTTAATTATACTTATTATCTTTTTTTCTTGTTTGTGCAGTTTCTGATCATGCCGCTGGTACACACTTGCTAACCTTTTATTTACCTAATAACCCTACAGCGTTTTGCTGCTGTCATTATGAGAATCAGGGAGCCCAAAACTACAGCTTTGATTTTTGCCTCTGGGAAGATGGTAATTCCTTACTGGAAATTACAGTCACATGCATTTATTTTGTTGCATTCAGCGTCAGAATCCCTAGATAGTAACTAGAGCTTGCACCAATTGCTTGAGCCAAGCATGTTATCACTGTTCAATATTTCATTTACCAAAACAAATTTCCTTGCTTCTTCAGGTCTGCACCGGTGCTAAAAGCGAACAGCAGTCTAAACTGGCTGCAAGGAAGGTATTTATATATCTTTGAGATGTTTGTACCCTTAATTCTGTTCAATTTGCTCTGTGCCTCCATGATATCTATTATTACCATTATGATGCATTGCAATCATGAATTTGACGAAACAGACATTCTATATGTGCTTTTCAGTATGCCAGAATTATCCAAAAGCTTGGTTTTCCTGCTAAGTTCAAGGTACTTCCTCAAATTTTTATTCTTTTCTCTTGTGCAAAACATGCTCATAGATTCTTGTTTATGGACTATATATCTCGCTTCAATGGTAGTGTTTTCTCCTTCTTCTTGTTTACTCTTTTTGTTGTCAATGACAGGACTTCAAAATTCAGAACATTGTGGGGTCTTGTGATGTCAAATTTCCTATTAGACTTGAAGGTCTTGCCTACTCCCATGGTGCCTTTTCAAGTGTAAGTGGCTGTTCCAGTTTGTTGAGTTGTTTCCTTTTATGTTAGAACATTGGTTGCTCATGTTTATAGGTGGATATTTGGGATGTCCAGGTTTGACTTCCTTTTCCCGTTCTGAATGTGTTTATGCACATACAAAGTCTTCTTCTGTGTGCCCCTTAAATTCCATGTAAAATCCCTTATGGCTTTGAAGCTCAGGGAATGATGGCTAAAATTTTTAGTCCTAATTGTTTTGAAACACCCTTTCTAACAGTGTTGAACTAATCTTTTCATTTGGTTAGTGAACTGCTGGAAGCATGAATATTTTGGACTTGGAATTCTTAGGCTTAGATCCTCTTTGTTAGGAGTGAAGACTGGTTTGCTTGGGTCAGTGATTGGAACTTATCTTAATGATGTTTTATGCAGTATGAACCAGAACTCTTTCCCGGCCTAATCTATCGAATGAAACAACCAAAGATCGTGCTTCTTATTTTTGTGTCGGGGAAGATTGTGATCACTGGGGCTAAGGTGATTATGTTGGACTGTTGTTCATCCGTTATTGTTAACTCCCACATAACTTTACTAATTCACTTTGTTTGAATATCTCAGGTGAGAGAGGAGACATACACAGCCTTTGAGAACATATATCCTGTCCTTACTGAGTTCAGGAAGAACCAACAATGGTCATAAACTATACTCTTACTCTTTTTTGTAGTGGTTAACTAGTTATGTTATTCTGACTCTTTATATTCCATGAAGTATCCATGTTCCACAATAGTGTCCAACTCATATTCAGTCATGGATGTGGTGTACTATATGTAAAATATGTGAAAGAAGAATTAGAAAAACTTGAATATGTTCATGGTGGATGCATATTCTAATCCGATAGTCACCCCCAAGTTTGAGCAACATAGTTGACTAATGCCCTTTTTTCTTTTCTTCTCACGCTTGGACTTGCATCTAACTGATCCATAATTTGCTGGCAGATATACCATTGGATGGGACATTCACTCTGTTGTGGATAGGTTTTCCTTTGCATTGTGTTCAGGGTTGGATTCGAAGTGTGAATATTTGAAGAATGGGGATTGGAACCTGGCTTCTTTTGGCTTTGGTTGTCACAATTTTGTCATCTTTTTTCCTATTAAAATCAGTATGGTGTTGCGCTTAAAATGATGGAAAACTCAAAAAGGGAAGAAGAAACAGAGGAAAAAAAAGGGGTTATTCTGGGTTTTCCGTTGTAGACATTTTGCTTTCTATTAAAATAAGCTATGTTAAAATTTTGACCTTTGATCGTTCCTGTTTTTGCCATCTCAGACTCCAGAGCTCACTTGATGCTACAAAGTGTTGAAAATAGGTTGTTTTTTAGTCTCAGATTGGTTGAATTTATGGATCATGAAGATGAAACAATTGGGTTAAACTTTTAAAGTTAGTAGTCGACTCATCATGTGTTTCTTTTGACTCTTCCATTTTGGATGTACAAATTCTTTCTACGTAACAGTAGCTCAAGACTCCATCAAAGGTATGTGAAACCGGCCATTTGTTATAAACTGAAAGAATGCTTCGCAAGTTTTAATGCACTTCTATATCTATATATTAAAATGGTAGGTCCCATTAGCAACCAAAAAAAATGATAGTTTATTCAGCAAAATAAAGAATGATGGTTTATTCAGCAAACAAGGATAGAACGGAAAAGATATTATGAGAATAAATAAAACTTGCACCATAAAGGAGTTGAAGCCAATTTTTACACAAGAAAGAAAATAAGGTAGAAAAGGTAAATTCCATACCACATTATTCAACCAATCCAGGGTCTCTAACATAACCTTCTCCTTCGGATCCTACAATGAAATTGACACATGAAAAATAATTCAAATAGAGTGGAAAATTTTGGGACCTCATGCTTCCAATAAACATTAGTTTCAGTCAGTGAGGAATAAGCTTTCAAGATTTGAAGATTCTTCAATAAGCTTGGTGAGATGAAGCAAAAGAGAGTTTATAAAGAAAAAAGGGGGGAAAGACCATTTAGGCCTCTAAGTACTGTCAGCAGAAAGGGGCCAACTTGATGTTTGACTGAGATGGTTGAATATCATAAAAGGAGCAAGAAGTTCCAAGTACTCAACCAGACCAATTGGAGGTATATATCAAAACATACAGCACATTCCATGTAGTGGAAAAAAAACTTTGGGGGAAAAAAAAACAAAACAAAAAACCATGCAGAAAGTTTACAGTTTTGGGATGTTGGCCCAATCCTTCGTTAGAGAATGCTTTTGTCTTAGTCTCTTTCTCACATACCTTAAAACTTTCCATTTCTCGTTCAATTTGCATCCACCAGGAACTGCTCATAAGAGCCACTAATCTATTTTGATAAACAACAGAAGCAAATAGTAATAATGATCAGCTTCAATTCAATTAATACAATTAATGTAAGAATAAAGTTTAGAGTATCACTGAAGGCAAAGGTGATTCAACGACACCACATGACGACTATGACATACTTTTTTCTTTTCTTTTGGAGAGTATGAGATAAATATTTAGATTACAGTAAGAGCAAACAAATCATTTAAAAGAAGATAAAACTAGTAACTAACTTTCTTATCCTTGATCTCGAATCCATGTTTTGATCTGGTCTCTATACCTTTGCAGCTTCTTGATTTCCTTCTGATTTGCATTATCGGTATCATAAACCTAAACCATGCAATAAAAAACCAACAATCAACAATTTACAGTCAATTTGCTCCACGGAAAGCTAATTACTTGACAAAAAAATCTTTACCTTCTTTAACACCTCTTTCTTCCTCTCTTATCAAGATAAATCTGAAAACAAATTAAATCATTAATGACGAAAAATGATAAAAACAAATTCAATATATTTCAGAAAACACTTCAAAAAGTAGGGAGACAATAGTTATACACTTATTTTGAACGAAAAATTATTTAGGCAACTGTAGGTATAGTTTGGACACTTATTTCTACATTAAGCCTTTTTTAAATCATTTTAGCATTTGTAATACCATAAATTTAAGTTTTCATCTTTTATATCATAATCCCTTTAAACTATTAAATCGGGTTTAATTTTATTTAAAAATATTTAGACTGATCATTTTAGAAGATATTAATTAAGTTAATTAAACACATGGTATGTCAATTAAAAACACTGTTTTATCACATTGTATTTTAATGAAATTAAAATTATTTAATAAAAAAACTATCATTTTTTTAATATGATCAAATCATGCTTAACTGTCTAATATCAACGTCCTTTCATAGGTTACAATAATAATGATGCCAATGGAGTTAAAATTCAATCCACAAATAATACCTTCAATAGCTCCAGAACATTTTTCAGTTTTAACATTAGATTCTCGATTTAATCCTTAGCAAGTAATGAGCCTTTTCTTTTTACTTTATAAAAAAAATTATGTAAATGCATAATGTTGCTATTAAAAATCCAATCATTTAAGTAAGTTTAATATAATAGTTAAAAGTTATGTAAATGCATAATGTTCCTGTCATAAACGTTAGATGTTCAAAAAGAAAAACAAAACAAAACTGCATCGCGTTGCTGGAAATATGTATAATGTTTATGTAGTTGTTGCAAGTTATTCAAGTACAAGATCGAATGGATTTTGGTCTGAACCTGAATCACAATCAGCAGCATTCCTTCACCATGTTTAATCCAAATTCTATTATAAATATAATCAACTTCGCCTTCTTCACTCATATCTGGTCATGAAAAGCTCAACAAATCTTTTCAGCTCCAGCTGAGACCATTCAGATCGAACTCTTTACACCTGGAAGCTACGTCATTTTCTTCCTCAACATTTAAATCAAGCTTTGTTGCAAAGTAATGGAGTCCATCTTCTCCATTTATGTTGTTGTTGTTGTTGTTGTTGAAGCCGTTACTTTTCTCTCCTTGTAATCCTACCGTCATCGACAAATCACTGCCACTGGAGCTTCTATCTGCAAAAAGCATGTTTTTTTCTGCAATTTTGCCTATTGAAGATTGAACGATTTTGGTCTCCTTTATTTCTTCGGACAGCTTCAGCTCGGTTTGCCGCAACCATGGATCTTCTGCTATAAGATTGTATGGTCTTAAGCAAATCCCATTGTTGTGTATTTCGTATTCTTTCTGAGATCCTTCTATGGAGGTCAAACAACTGTCGATCGAACAATCCGCCGGCGGATTTGTCTGTGTTTTCGTGTGGCATAAGCCCTGCAAATCTTTCAAATCCAAAAGTGTTGGATTCAAGTATTGGTTAGACACTTTAGACACCAGCTCGGATAATTGTACTTTGGCTGCTTCAACTTCGTGTCCAATAGAACCCGGATTTTGTCTTCCAAGAGTCTCTTGAGCTTTCTCCAACACTGACTGTAAGTACTTCCCTTGAGCCTCGATCCGAAGCTGTAAATGTCGCTGCACCTCGAGCTGTTCGTGCAGTTGTCTCTGGACTTCGATTTGCATTTGCAGTGCTTTGCCAATCTGTAAGCCTCTGGTTGTGTTATGAACATCAGAATCAGTATATAAAGAACTAGATGGATGACTGAAATCCAGAACTATGAAACTTCATTAATGTTCTTACTTGTTTGTTTGAGGTCCAACAGTTAAGTTATTCATTTGAATCCCATTTGCCTCAGACATTTTGTCTACTGCTGCCATTGCCACCGCACCTATATCCATTGAGTTAAAACAATTAATCTTCAAAAATGAAAGCTCTCAACAGGATCCGTTGTCCAGAACTCGGATTTGATGAAAATTCGGACACAAGTATTGGAATACGATCCTATAAGGATCCTCCAAATACATAGAAATCGTAGATAAATCGAACTTATCGGTCTGAAAGAGGAACACTGTTTTCTCACCTATTCTGTTACTGCCACTATTAACTTGCCCATGGGGATTTTTACTGAGCCTGTACTTCTGCAACCAAAATGTGAGAATTTACTTAGCAATTGTAAAAGTTTAAGTTACCAGACTAAAAGTGTGACGATTTCCGAATCACCGGATTCTGGAGACATTGTGGCAGTTTCAAGTTCAGATTGATCAGGAGGATTTAGTGGACAATGAGGCAGGTCGGGAACCGACCAAGACATTATTACAGTTCCAATACCAAATTGATAATTGGAAGGGACAAGTTGAAAACCAATCGAGATGAGACATTCTGGTAGCTCCTAGATCATATTGAAAGGTTTCACTCGGAGAATTCGGAAAGGGCATTACTTTCGGACTGCCGGCTGGGAAAGACGACCAGGGATCGGTGAAGACCAGTTTCAGTCCCACAAACTTGGTGCAAGCTAAACAGGTCACCAACATTTTGTTGTGGAAAACAAGGTTTATCCATCTAGATTTTTTCATAGAATGGCCTCTAGATTCTATGAACACAACTTTCATGATAATTTAGATATAAATTACCTGAAGGTGACTCTTGAGATGGTATAAAGTAAGGCCAGGAATCCCCATTAATTTCAATACTGTTTTGGGAGTAGCCTCTGCAGCAAAAAAAAAACAGCTATTTGTACCAGTCTAATGCACTTTATGTACCAGCACTTTTATTCCAATTCCAAGCAACATAGCATGAATTTACTTACTGTCTGCTCCTCCGAGCTGATTGACAGCTTCAATGAAGCGTTCATGGAGATCAGGCGTCCACTTAAGTCTCGGCTTCGCATCGGTCGAGAGGACAAGACCCGAATCTCCGGTGCCATTTCCACCTTGCAGTAACAAATGCCTCTCTGGAATCGCCATTCTCAAAGAAGCCTGCGTGATCTTGCCTTGTTGTTGATGATGGTGGTACATTTGCAATCTCCGAATCCGAACTCAAAACTCGATTTAAGCTTGTTTTATCCTATGAAGCAAAAGATACAGGACACGTACCACGGGTTCACGACGTCTCCCCTAATGGCCAGTTCTTACAAGACAAAGGTGACCCCAACCATGGCTTTTATAAAGCAGTTTTTAGAATAATAGAATCTGGGACATTGCTAGATGGCAACACCATGACCTGATCCATTAGTAACACAAAACCAACTTTCTAAAATACCTCAAGAACTTGAATTAGGTACTGGGAATTGATCCACCATTTTCGCCCTACCCCACTGGCAAAAGCCCAAAGAACCTTATTCCCCAGGGGGATGACTTGCATTAGGGGAATCCACTAACTTTGTTTATTTGAGTCTCTGCAATCATAATGGATTCTCTCAGTTTTACAATTAACTAATGAGATTATAACCAAGTTTTAGTTCAATGTTATCTATGTCAAAGGGAGTTTAGATGGAGACATGCACATAAAAGAAAGATTTTAACTGGTTTATATTTGCAGAATGTAAAGAAGAAGAAGAAGATTCTTTTGACTGAAGCACCTTGAAACTATGGAATTATATACATGGAAGAAAGATGCTTTTCCTTGGAGATTGTTTGATGGCAAAGGAATGGAATATGGAATACGTCCCATGATTTGTCTGCTACACCAAGTTTGGTACTTTGTTCAACTTCTATTTTTCTTCAAAACATATATGGACACGAGTACGAAAATACGGTTCTCCAAATCTATGAAAAAAACTAAGCATTAATTGTACAACACTCAACTCTGAGTCCAATTAATATAGATAGAGTTCGGGATGGAACGGAGTCAGAATATCAACTTAAAGGAGACAATATAATTAATAATAGAACATGTATACTGTTCTCGGACGAAGCATAACTTCATCTCTAGAAAAGGGTATTTCGATATACGAAAATAGATAAAACCGATTATATTCATATCAGACACTGAACTTCGAGACCGAGTAAGTATAGTTTAGAAGATGGGGATGGGGACCCTTATACTTTAGCTTTCTTCAATGGGCATATAAGTGTTAAGACAGCCGCCTCTCAAATGGCGAATCCTAAGCATGTCGGGGACCCGATGAAAAGGCAGGTATTTTTGTATTTGCATTTGTTGAAAAAACATGGCATGACAATCCCTGTCCCTGAAAACGACAACTTGCCATTGACCCTAATGCCTTTGTCTGGTTTTTCTTTATTCTCCTTTTATGAATCTATAAACTCTTCTTTCTCCATTTTCATGACTTTTTTATGATCTTATCTTAATTAATCTGTTATTATCATTCCACGTTATTTATATATGGTAATGTCAGCTGAATATATATATATATATATCCATGAAAGCATGCAAATTATTCCCTTTTTCTTTCCTTCTTCCTGCATGATCTGACACGTAGAAAACATGGAATTATGCATTCTTACATGTGATCATGCTTGCCAAAGAAGTTTTAGTTCATAATAGGATGGAGTTTCATTTTTAAAACTTAAGTTTGATCAGAGATAAAGATTAGATCATTTGAACTCGCTCGATTAGCCTTGTAAGTATTCACTCTTGAGATTTATTTAGTTATAATATTTGCATGATCAACAGCTAATGAAGAATAAATTCGTAATACTTAGTTATAGAGACTAAATCTGGCAAATAGTATAAACCAGCCAAATAGAGAAAATTAAATAAAACTTGTTGAAGAATAATGATATATATATATATAAGGATACTCCGTTAAAATGAGTGCTTGAAAATTTTCTAGTAGTAAACAAAAAGTAGATTTTAGGGTTGGTTTCAAAGCAATTATAAGCTACATATATTCCTTCGACTCTTCGTTTTGTTTAAGCAGTGGAGAATCCATAAATAATTTTTAGGGTAAACACACACATATATATATATATATATATTATAATTTTTTCGTATAGAACACAAATAAAATTTCAAGGTGGATAGGACACCATCAATAAAATAAACAATTAATATAAAAAAATCGAATTTCAAGTGTCCGCCTTGAACGTACATCCGCCGTTGCTTTCAAATATTTATGTTTCACACTCGTTTCCTACACATATTCAAGAACGAGTTTAGGGATATATATCTTCTCACAACTCTTCAAATATATGAGAAAAATTTAAAATTTATTCGAGATTTATATTCGAATTCGAGTAATATAAAATTCTAATAATGTCTTTCACATTAGTTTCAACTGGACTTTTTAGGAAATCAATTGATTCTGATATGTCAGAATATATTTATGCAGTTTGAGAGAATCTATAAATACTTGGTCTCAAAAGTATTAAAAGCAGAAACCTAATACAGTTTGATGGCATGTGGATAGGAATATAATTGCAGACTAAGCATTATCTTTTGAGATTAATTAAAGACGTAAAACATTACCCAACAAATCTAAACCCATTTCTTTGGATTGAACCAAATTTGAAGAATGAGAATTCCTATTGTTCTTGTTCAAGTTTTATATATTATTTCTTTTCCATTTATCAGTTAGAACTTTGTTGAAAGACAAGTATTTTTGTTGAGACGAAACAAGTAGTTGTGCATTTGTTGTACAAAAAAGTGCATGTAAATAAACCATTTGTAGGACCAAAAACACAAGTTTCCAGTACTTCACTTCGTGCCTGATAAGGACACAATCATCAATGTTCCAACATTTTATTACATAAAAAGTAGTTAACATTCTCTGATGTTTCTCAAACTGAAAGTTCAGTCCTTTTGTCCATATATCCAGCTCCAAATATTTCATGCACAAATCAATTGAAATTTGTGTCTTTCTTCCTGTACTTTAAACATTTCATTTTTCCTTTTCATTGATTCTCAGTGTTAATATAATTTTACTTTGTTCCCCCCCCCCGGGAAGACTACAGAAGATGCTTGGGACAGAGAATATATGGGTGAGAATATGAGATTAAAGGGGGGCTGGTTTCAATCATAAGCCTGACACGTGTGTAAGATGGTTATTGGTCAGTCAGGAGCATTGGGGTGGAATAAAAAAGTGAGAAATGACCACGGAATGGTATTCCCATTGTTGAAAACAAGCCACAGGAATTGGAATGTAGGAATCCTAACTCAAACTAAAGCCATTGAGTCATATTCTCAAGTCAAGATTCTTTATATATATATTGGGGATTATTCCTCTCTGCTAAAAGCCGCAGAAAATGGGTTCCCTCCATCCCCAATCTTCTACTTTTAACTGATTTTGTAGGATGCTTTTCATCATTCATCATTTACAGTTTACATGTCCTCTTTAAGTTGAGCCACTTTACAAAGAAATTATATGCCTCCTTTGCATATTACTATCCTTTTATCATTCATATATATATATATATGATTTTTTACCCGTATATATCTCTTCATTTTTTTATTGTGGATCCCAACCATTTATTTACATTCATCAAATGATATTAAATCGGTGTAAAAATCGATGTAAAACTTGGATCCTAACTCATTTTAGATATATGTGACATGCTTATTAGAAAAGCATTGATATTAAATAAATTTATTGCATCAGATACATTTTTAAGCACCAAAGAATATGGTTCCAACTCCAACGGGAGTACATAAAACTTCGAGGGTTGGCATGCGATTTAGATTATATATTATACTACCCTCCATTGCCAACCCCATATAACTCTAAAAAAGCCGAGCTGCCCAACCCATGGACAGGAAGCTTTAACTATTTTATATATTATGCATAAGATAGTAACTGAAATAGCTGTAAGTGTACACACACATGGAAAGCTCTTTCAACACATGGAGTCATGTGTTTTACGCATTTCTTTGAATGACGTTTCAATTTCATAAATATATGTACTCGTATCCATACACGAACTTACGCCGAGTTCAAGCGACATAACTTTAAACATAGGAATATCAGATTGCCACCACCAAAAAGTATAACAAGTTTGAACATACAATCAGCCAAAGATATGAAAGAAATATTCCAACTTACACGGTTGCAGAATCATATGAGCCATAACCACCCTGGATGAATTGATTGCATAACCACTAATAAATAACCCCACACCCCAAAAAAAAAAAGATTCAGTATACCTCGATGTTTTACCGTGTCTGTAGGAGATGTTCATCTTTTTTTTTTCTGGATTAAATTTTCTGTACAATACTCAAATCCGAAAACCCTTCACAAAATAGCTGCCAATCCCACAGTTTCCCCCTCATCAATTCTATTTTCTGGAGCATTGAGTGAACTGCGTGGCCTTGCTGAAAGGTGGAACATAATAAAATTAGTCAGGACATGTCACAGAACTTACTCGGAGGTTCCCTCCTAATCCGCGTTAATGATCTAAAAGGTTAAACATGAAATTACTTGGAACAACCTTTACTCGGATTAGAGGGAAAGAGAATGCAATATGATGAAAAATTGAGTGAATACCTGTGACATTTGTTATAATGTTTACACTTTTCTGAGCAGCAAGAGCTTTTAAGTTGTTCCCGGTAGCTAATAAAAGAAAGCTCTTCATATGCTGCTTTTGTTCTTTTGGACTAGCCGTTTTAGTCAAGGCTTCTTCGAGGGCATGTAAATCGTTGGAGCTAATACAAGGAAGGGAGAGTAAAATCTGGTATAGTCCAATGAAGACATCCTTATGTTAGCGTTTCAAGACATTAGTTCAAAAAGCCTGTAAGATCAAGAGTGTGTCCACTTAATACTATGAAGTGATTAGATCCGAAGCTAACCTGTCTGGGAGCCGGTTTTCTGTCACATAGATATATGAATATTTCGCGGCAGAGGTTAACGAGATCAGCACTGATAAAAGCGTTTGACTCGAGTGCCAGACCTCGAATGGCAGCAGAAAATAGATCTCTCGAAACAAATTCCTGGAGATCCGCATTGTTCGTGAATATAGCTAGAAGAACCACAGCAGCTGAGAAAGAACAGGCTTTGGTCACTGCTTCACTGTCTGTCCAAGAAAATGCTTCCAGTGAAATTTGCAACATCGGGATTGCCAGGCTTTTATGCTTTAAAAGAAAACTGCAATAAGAAGTAACCGTTGAGAAAACTAGATTCTATGGAACAGCTAATAATGAAGATGTAAAAGTATAGTCACATGTCAAGAGTAAAAGAAATAACTAATGGGTGTATTTCATACCCGACCATAGAGCCCGAAGCAAATGCATCCAAATCTTTCAAAGAAGACGTGTCGATGCGGCCAACATGACCAGAATGTTCCAGCGATGGAAGGCTGGCATTTAATCCGGGTGATGCTATAGTAGAAAGGAGCAAACATATCTCACGAGTTAAATCTCGAAGTAGTTTCTCCTCCATTACTTCCACTTTTAAGTCTGACCCAGTGAGAATCCCATGATTATCAGGGACCTTTGCCCGGCCTTCATGCAAAAGACCAGACCATGAACAGCTCAGAGCTTGATGACAATGAACAAATAACGGGTGCAGTAGCTTTTGGAGCCATATCTCCCACATATCCGGAGGACAGGACTTAACTAGTGGAATCAAAATAGAATGAACAAGCTGTCGTATATGTCTGAACTCCATTGACTGTATATTCTCAATTAGAGTTAAAGCAACAGAATCGACATCCATGCACTTGAAAAATGGATCCCCGATGGTTGTAGATAGGCCCAATACATTGTACCTATGATTATGGAAGACATGTTAGCACAGATTTGAAAAGACATGATGAGCAGATGATGACTGATAAGTTTGATTTTCAGTCAAGTAGCTGCACTCTATGATGCTACAACTCTTTATTTTGCTTGAAGTACCCGTGTCCGACACATATCAGACATCAGTGTAGGGATATGACCCTTCAAGATTCTCCATATATATATGGAAAAAAGGAAAAATTAAGCATACATGTATCCACACTCCTACTTGAGTCCAAGTAACAAAGGACAAGCTAAAATCTCAATACTAATACATAAACAATTTTGTAAGTTAGATAGAAATGTGCAAAGATGCCATTACTTACCCACTATCTCGGATACCCTTTAGCCAATTTCTTATGTCAGCCTCATTTGGTTCGGTATATCCTTCCTTATTCACATCAAACTGAGGTCCATCTACGAAGGTTAATGTACCCTTTAAAGATTTCAGGTTCCCACCACCGAGAAGACTGGATCGCTCCACATCACTCATGCTCATTGCTGCTTTGATTTCTCCAGGTAACATTTGGAACACAGACGGTGACCAAAGGGAATGCATACCACGAAGCAGCTGCAAATGATAAAACAATGTTTGCCCTGTTATCTCCCAGATGAGATTCAATTAATACAATAGGGTCATTGTTTAACAAGTAATGCAACAAAGAAAAATCTGTAAGAAAATATAGGTTGGTTCTTCAATACAATATCATACTTTTAAGAGAGGAGGAAGCATCCACGAAAGATGTGAAGCTATCGGATGTGGTGTAGAATTTTCTGTTGAGCTTTTTTGTAAGTTCAAATTGCCTTTCCTCATTCCACTCCTCTTAAGTGCTTTCTCGAAGAATGTCACAGTGTGGAAAAGTGACCACATAAATGCTCTCTCGGAGCATAAACGAACTAGACCAAGAGGTTCAGACAAGTAATTATTTTGCCATTCTATCTGTATCCACTGTTGGCTCATGGGTTCAAGTAACCATGCCAAAACTTCTTGCTGCTGTTGACTCCTGCTCCATTTCAAGAAAAATTGATAACAATGAAAACAAAAGAAGCTGGCTTTACAAGATGATTGAGACACTTGAAGCAAGTAATTACCCCGCAGCAGAAGCCATTACAAGAAATGCTTCACCAAGAAGATTATGTTCACCACGAAGCAAACGACCTTCTCTTTGCAAATGTGCCATTGTATCAGCAATACCCTGAATATTGGGTATAACGCTTAATTATGATAGCTATAACGCTTAATTATCTAAACCTTTGTGACAGATTCTACTGGATTTCCTTATGAAGCGCACTTAAGTTTGTATCTACTTAAGGATTAAGTGGACTTTTTCTGCTCTAATTTAACAGCTATACAAGCAGTCATAATGTCTTCCTACAGCAAACAAAACCGAAGCTCGCTTTTGGATATGGAGAAATATTGGGGAGATCCTTAAAAAATAAAACAAATAAAAAGAAAGTGTTCGTTTTTAAGGAACACGATTATCCTAATTTATCTATTCAATTAAAGTGGAAGGAACAGGAGTTCGTATATAACAGGTTTTTAACCCTAATGACAAGCTAGAAACTTGTTAATACTACACAAAAGTGATTTAGTGGAGTTTTCTGCAGCCCAAAAAAGGCGATCTAAAGGTTAAGCATCTGAATTTTTCATTTCAGTTTGAGAAAAAGTCAGCATTTTCAAACTTAAAAAAAACTTCAATTAAATATATTATCATCTTGCTCAACAGATAAAAAAAAGAAACACCAGTCACCTTCATGTGAGGCAGAACACTTTTATCAGCAGCTTTTGCTATTCGAATAAATGACGTACAAATCTGCAACCTTGCATGCCGAGTGCTGCTTGTAGAAGGATCCTACCAAACAAAAGATTAAGGTAAAAAAAATTTTGTGGTCCTTATTGCAAGCAATAGCGTGAAACAAATAAAAAAAAAACATGAGAACCTTAACAATAAAAGGAAGTGAATTTAAGAGCTCAAAAAGCTTATTGATGACACTGGCAACTGCATTGGGAAAATACTTGAGGAAGGGACCCATTGCATCTAGATAGTGGCCAAGTACTTCCACAAGGGCCGGCTCAGTCCAGTTCAAAGAAAGAAGTTCCCGGAGTAAATCTTCAATTCACAGTAAATAGAATTGTTCAGTACGTATCCTATGCTAAACCAAGAACCTCTGATAAATAAGAATTTTTTTAGCAAACCTTCAAATATTCTACATAAAGCTGAATGAACTTCTGAACTACCCCCGGGAAATTGATTTGATCCGTCAAAAATAGAACTAACAACATTTTCCAGAGCCATTTGCATGCTTTCCATCACAGCCAAATCCTGGAAGTTAAAAAAGATATTAACAACGAAAATCTAAGTCTCAACATATGGACAAGGTATCATAGAAAGGACAGAAATGAAAAGGGTTGGCAACATAACCTGAACAGGCATGGGAGAATTCAAGAGGTTCCTAATGATCATAATAATTCTTTCAGAAACTTTAGCAGCAGCCACAAGAGGCTTGTTGGAAGCAATAAGCTTGATTAACTCAAGCTGCAATCATAAAAGTATGGTTTTACAATCAAAAGTAGCAAATCTAGATCTAGATATAAACAAATCCGAGGTTAAGAGAGCCTACCAGCCTAGAACGGTAAGAGCCAAAGTCACCCTTGTCTTCAAAATCATCACTCCACAATTCCAAAACTCCCAAAGAAAGGGTTGTTCCAGTGACGAGCTTTTCTTTCCTAAGCATGCGTTGGAAAGATATATCGAGAATTGTACTACAAATATTGTCATTCAGAAAAGTTAAAATCTTTCTTTTTCCATCGTCAACCTGAGCCAAAGTGAAGTCTGCATTAGTAGCAGTCGACCCATCTCCAGATGAATGTACTGAAAGCTTTGGCTTTGACATTGAATCCCTCATTAGCGCCTGGAGAAACAAGCCACCACGAAATTTATTTGAAGTTAGCTATTTGTTATTCATGCTTTCCTATTACAAGTTACAACAATTTATGGAAACTTCCACATACCAACCAAAATTGCAGAGACTGATTATGAAGAGCTAGCTTAAAATGTTGAAAAAACCCGAGCATCTGAAAGATAAAAGTAGAACATAACTAGAAGATATTACTCATTAAACAAGAGTAGCAGAAAAATAATTAGCAAATGAAAATGTCTTACAAAACTATGCCGCAATCTTAGGAGACTTGTTTGTAAAATACACTTCAGTTGAATTAAAGATAAAAAATAGCAATCTTACAAAACTATGCAGCAATCTTTTGACAGTCATTACCTTCTGTAGATAAAGAGAGAATGTAGCGCTATCTCCAAGAACACATTGCAAGTTTGAGGAACCCAAAGACACCATACTTTCACATACATATTCAGCGAACTCGTAGTCATTTTCATCTATAGCTGCACCAGCTGAGCTAGACCTAACCAAAAAATCTTGGGATACATTCATCAAGATTTGAAAGATGTTACTCATCGCAGAATCAAAGTCAGAAGCAGAGTCATCCGTAGGTCTCTTTCTGCATGTCAGAATCGAGAGTTCATAATGGCAAACAGTAGTCTTCTAGGAGAGAAAATCCATATCATAATCAAGCAAATCCTATAGCATACCTCGGAGAGACAAGTTTGAAAAACTCACAAGCATGAAGGCGAAAATCGGGAGAAGAAAGTAGAAAACAGCACCTGTGAAAATAGGGGAGTATGAGTAAAGAAGGGATCGCCCCAATGATTAAAAATCATCTTTTGAGAAGTAAAAGAAGAATATCATACCCGTGAATGATGCCATATTTAGCAAGATCGGACAAAGGAGCCCATTCAGCATATGCATTTACAGCATTTAAAGTAGCTGTTACAGCAGCTGCATGCTGTTTTGCGATATCTAGCTGTTGTCTACCCAACTCATTCATTGCCGCTCCATAATGCCTTTCCAGTAACTGGATTGAGAGTTAAAGATGATAAAATAATGCTAAAAGAATCAATGTATATTCCAGGAAAAGATGGAGGCATACATACAGTAAACAATAGTGGCAAAATTTCTGGCAAAGACTGAGTAAGACCACGTAACAGCAACCTACGCCGATCACCTGAATGATAAATTGAAGAAGCTTAAAACATCATATGATATATTGATATATATAATATCACTCTCATAATGAAAAAAAGAAGAGAAAAGAAATGAGCATTCCATTTGCAATGTTTCAAAGAAAGCAGAATTGCGACATCTTGGGTGCCGAAAAATAAAATCATTCAGTTTTAGAACAAAAACAAAATCGAAGTCAAGGTAAGAATATAAACCTTCCAAATCTTCATTGTGGACTGTAATATCTTCAGGAAGCCATCTCAGCATCATGGAGACCAACTCAGCCTAAAATGGAAACCAACAAATTCATCCAAAGCATGATTCAAGAATACAAAAAGATCATGACTAAATGTAAGTTGCAAGGAGCTTTACTTGTACATGGCCTTTGCTGGATAGGGAAACTAGAGAGGGAAGCAGCTCTTGCCAAAGATTTACAAATTCTCTTCTAACAATCTGTCAAACAACAAATATACATTAACACACACACATAAATCTATAGTTATATAACTGAAAAAATGATAACCAGATGCACATAAAATAAGTCAAAAGCTAAGGCAATGTGGTGAAAACCTCAGCAACAAGTGCAGCAGTTTGACTTTTCAAAGCCCATTCCTCACAAGTGTCTGCAATTTCAGACATTAAATCAAAAGCAGCATTTGCAAAGTTTCTATGTTCTGAAGGACCAAATTCCTCCCACCGAAACCGAACCACGTGCTGCACAGAGATTAAGAAGCTAAGTATCTTATTTTCAAGACAGGCTTATCATCATAATTAACTCATTGGTAACCTAAAATTTAATTTTTCGAAGTGAGCATGCAACATGAACAGAACGGGAGGAGGAAAGCTGTGAGTGAGCTCAAACCTGTAGCATTTTAAATGCATGTAACCGAATCTCAGAAGACCAATCTTTTTTTACTAAAAGGAATGATGTGTTCACCAAAACCCGTATATCTCCTGCTTTAATCTGCAAATATTTAAGAGAGAGAAATCAATTGGGTAATGATGTGGAAGTAAATAGTGCAGCAAATTAGATTTTGCAATGTTTGCAAGCTTCATTTGATAAACTCTTTTCATAGGAAGACTTTAGCCCCTTTTTACGGTTTCTTTTCTTCATAGTTTTAGAGCTCACTTTTATTACTGATCACGAGGCAAAAGTTGATCAACCAACACTATCCTAAAAAAATGCAAGATAATCGCTAAGAACTGACTGCTTTCCGAATCATAGTTATAAAATTCAGCAGGATGCATAATTATTGATTCTAGTTGCCAAAGTCCTAAAATCCCAATCATATTACTAATGGAACATCTAAATGCCACAAAGATGAACTGTTTCTAGACTGTTAAAATCATTCTAAAGGATTCAAACAGTACAAACTTATAAAAAGAACAAAAAAAAAGACCCAATCACAGGTAGTCAAAATTCAATCCAATATCCATACAAACACCGGATACTTATCCTAAGCAGATGAAAACCACAGAATAGCAGATAAAATGCATGTAAAAGCTGCAAAAAGCAGATTTTAAAACCTCCATAGAGTAGAGACCAAAAGTTAATCAATGCCTGCTCAAAAGTTTGACACTCAACCAAAACCCGTTTGAAAAAATGAAAAAAAATAAGGGAATGCACAAAGATCAGACCATTATTATCAAAAATGCCAGCTAAGGGAGATCTATTAGTTCCATAAAAGCAAATTTCAATGAACTCTTTAGAGTAAACCCTTAAAACGCAATTGAACCACTAATCAATCCTAGAGAAAAAAATAAAACAAAAAACAAAGTTCATAAATTTCCCAACATTACACAAATTCAAAACTAGTCTAATGAATCGCTGTTCGAAACTTCCACAATGATGTCAACTTCCAAATAAGTATTCATCATAACAAAATTGATTAATTTACATGCAGAAACAACATTTGACAAATATTTATCATGAAGAGAGAGACAGAGAGTACGGATTCAAGGTAAAAAGAAGCGGCTTTGCGAGCATCGGGAGTAGAGTTCCAATCAAGAGCAGCAACAATCGCTCTGGCCACATTGTTTACTATGCTGTTGTCGTTGTTTCCTTCATCCATTATTTTTCTATGCTTTTTCTTTTACTAAAACTGTAATCTTTCTAGGATTTTTGTTGAAGGCTCTATGCTTTGATGGTTGACGGTTTCAGAGAAAATAGAAATTGAAAGGGTTCTGTTTTGAACGAAAAAATAAGGGTTTTTATCAAAGTCGGGGAAGGTTTTAACTTTTTGACAGTTCTCGCGTAATCGTTTGCAGACTGCAGTATTGCTCAAGTTAATTTAAAGGGTAAACTACATATATTATCACTTAACTTTAGTCATATTCTTATTTTGGCCAATAAACTTTTGAAATTTCGATTTTATCTCTCAACTTTGACATTTCTTTCGATTTTTATCATTTCGTCATTATTTATTTGCCAATGTTATAACAAATCTCTATTATTTTCAAAATCATATAAATCTTGTAAATTTTCTTTTAAATTTATAAAAATGCCTTTAAGATATTTTTTCAAAAAATTTTAACTCAACTTTTTAATTTTTTCTTATTTTTCAATAGTGAAATACTTTCTTCAAAATCTTAATAGTGGAAAAATGGAGAAGAAAGATATGAGCAATATATCGTGATTCCATAGTAATTGAACCATGAGGATTAGATTATAGATCAAAAACGTTTTTCTCTGTGTTTTGGATTGAAATTTTACAAATTTCTTAAAAAATAAAAAAAAAAACTAAATTGATAGAGTTATAGGTAACAATGAGATAAACAAATCGATGTAAAAAATACTGAAGAAGATGTCAAAGAAAAACAATATTAATAATGGAGTAAGGAGAAAATGAAACTCTAAAAATTTTAAAATGATTCGAAATACGATAAAATGAAGATAGTAAAAAAAATAAGGTGGCTTTCGCAACAATAAAAGATAGCCCACATCAAAAAATATTATATCAGATCATCCTCTTATGTATTAAAGTCTGAATAATAAAAATAAAATAATTCAAAAGTTAAATTATTAAATTAATTTTTTTTAAAACATAATGACTAGTATAAAATTATAATCAAAGTTCAGTTATAAAAATAGAGTTCCCTACTTTAAATTAGTTTTATTCCTATTAAAATGTAAAAACACCAAAAAATAATAAAAATAATCTCTTTTAATAAATATATATATATATATATATATTTCCCCGCGACAACTCCTTAGCGTGAAAGCTATTCACACGTTTTCTTATTCCTTTTCAATTTCTAAGCATAACGTAAATGTGTCTCTTTTTTGGTATCTTCGGAAAAATTGTTTGAATTTTCTCCCTTTCTTTAAGCGTAATTAATTACAATTGAAACAATTTTTTTAATAGATACCGATCGATAAATTTTATTGAAGAGAAAAAAAAAACAAAAGTACATGGAAACACAAGTTTGGTGAAAAGGAAAACAAATGCAACTAAAAACCCACTAAAATTTAATAGAACATAAAACTAAGAAGCAGAAAAGTAACAGAAAAAGCAAAAGCTTTGCAATCGACCCATTCGGATCCTGAAGGGCTAGAAGTACGAGACAATGAAGAAGTGCCCGAAAGGAAGAGAGAGTAAACGTGCTAAAGAAGCTCCCTATCTTGGCATTCAAACACAAATAAGTGCCTATGGAGGCTCGATGAAGCGACGGTCTGCCGCTACTTGGAGAAGAACTGAGAGAGGTGCATCCTTGACCCAGAAGCGATCCATCAGTTCCGATTAACCTTTTAAAGCCGTTGCATGCACCGCTTGATTCCATTTCCGACCCACAAAGGAGAAGCTGCAGGAGTTAAAATTCATCGAAAAGATCGTTGCTTCCCAGATAAGTGCTCTTAACTCTGAAAAATCCTTTTGCTCATCATTTGTAACAATCCAGAATTTTGAAAAAAATATTTAATCGAAATTTGAGGTTTTAATTGTGTAATTGGTGAAAATTGATGATTAAATTGAAAGTTTTCAAAATTTATAGGCTGTTGAAGAGTTTAAAAAACTTCAGAGATTAAACCTTGAATTTACCCAAAAAAAATATCTGCAACACTCTATTAAATGCTGAATTAGATATGCCTAGGGTGAGTTCATAAGTAAAATTTACAAGTTTTTCTCCCTTCCAACAAACAACTTCTAACCACGATCCTGATGTCGTCTGACTTTCGATCGTTATTTTAAAAAAAACATCGTGTTCATCATCGAGCGAAGAACAAACTCCTTAAATTAATTAAAGTGAAACGCTGTCAAACATCGTGAATTTCAATTTAAGTCTCGACTTTTTTTAGCACCACCACCGAGAAAATCCTAAATTTATAGTTGATCATTGCTCCGTTTTCTACACCTCCAGCACCATCGTGTTCCTTGTGATGTTTCGAGTCCGTCGGTGTCATCCTTGGTCTCCGTCGGCGGCGGCGCGTGAGGAGATGAAACGGTCAAAATTTCCGATTTGTTGAAACCGAGCTTTCCACCGTTCAAAATTGTGAACCGAGCTTTATAAGTAACTCAAAATCGTTTAAAATAATTTTTGAAAATTTTTCTGTGATTTTTAGAGCCCCAGAAACACCCGCATGCTCCCCCACGCGTCGCTACTACGCGTGGGGAAGCTTCGAACCTTGGTTTAGTATAGTTGACCGGTTTGACTGGTCTGAATCGATTTGACCGGTTCGAACCGGTCCGATCCGACCGTTGACCCGACTCGACCCGACCGTTGACCGTATGCTATTTTCGTAATTATTTTTAAAATAGTGTTTTTTTTGTAATTATTTTGAAAATGGTGTTATTTTCAAAATTATTTTTAAAAAGTGTTATTTTCGTACTTATTTTTAAAATGTTGCTATTTTGTAATTATTTTTAAAAGAGTGATAGTTTCGTAATTATTTTTAAAAGGGTGATAGTTTCGTAAATATTTCTTAAAAGGGTGATAATTGTGTAAAATAGTTTATCATCTTTTGACCAGAACTTTGACCGGCTTTGACCGGCAATTAAACGACCGTTAATCTTTTTCGAGTATATCTATCATGATATTTTTTGATATTCTGAATTCGTTTTTAGGGTCCGTTTCGTCAAATTTGAACCCGAAAGTCTCCAAATCTTCAGTCAAACCCGTTGACTTTGATTTTGACCAAGATTTCTAATTTTCGGAAAGTCATATTTTATGTTTTTCGACGTCCTGAATCTGATTCTGAATTTCGTTTTGCCAAATTCTGACCCGAAATCCCCGAATCGAGCACGTGACCCAAAAAAGCTTAGTATTTTAGTATTTTGATTATTTATTTGAGATTTGATTAAGGAATTGATTTAGTAAAATATTTTATGAAGGTACTCGTGTTTCACCTGAGCGAGGATCAGTTAGGTTCGGAGTTGTCCGTTCGTTAGATCAGCCCGAACTGCGTACTACGAGAATTACCCGTAGGTTTCCGTATATTATTTAAATAAAGTTTTAGATTATTTATATTAGGATTCCAATATGGATTTTCCAATTTCGTAGGATCTAGCGCTGCAGCAGAGCGTGATCGACAGACCCAGTAGTAGGCTTCCCTATCTGATTTCTCAGACTGTTATAGGTGTGTTTCCTGACGGTGTTATCTTACTATTTTAAACTATCACATAAATAGTTTATCTGATTTTTGACATGGATTTTGATATGATATTTGACCTGGATTTTTATATAATACTTTACATGGATTCTGATATGCTACTTGACCTGAATTATGTTTCAATTTTTGATATATATATATATATATATATATATATATATATATATATATATATATATATATATATCGTTACGAATGGAACATGTTTTATTTGGGGGTAATGTTGGAGAAAGTATACATGGAGGCTCCTCGACTGTGTGCTCAGGACCTTACTTACCGGCTCATCGGCTGTGTGCTCAGGGTCTTACTGGACTTGACAGTGGGTGTATGGTTCTGGGTAACCTACACATATTGAACTTGACGGATGGGGGTAGTGTTCATATTTTTAAAACATGTTTGATAACTGATTTTACTAGAATATTTTATTCGTATGTTTTATACATTGTTTGGAGCACACTGAGCTTTTTAGCTCATTATGTAAATTTTAACCGTTTTCAGATAGAAGCAGACAACAAGCTAGCAGATTTGGCATCAGGAGAAATCAACTACTTTTACTTTTGTATGAATGAATAACTCTACTTGTTTTCGGTTCTATATGGTGACATGTATTTTGCTATTATTTTGAATATAACTGTATTATCAATATTTTATTCCGTATTACCTTTAATAGTTTATAAGTTTCTGTTTAAATAATAATAAAAAATCTCTGAATGAGATATGTGACCACTTATGTTTGGGTCTAACTTACAGACCGAAACTGGGTTTACATCATTTATCTTTGTAAAGACGGTGCGGGGATCAATCTCGAGTTGAATTCGTGAAAACTCCATATCCAAACAAAATTGGAGACCATGAATGACTGCCTTAATTTCAGCCATGAAAGGGGAAGTTGTGAAAGTGGAGATTCTTACGCGATAACCCATGACATGCCCCTCATTGTTCCTGATTACAACACCTGAAAAAGCTCATTCGTTTGCAGAATCCAACTTTGCATCAACACTGGCCTTAATCATATTCGTCGGGGGAGGGGCCAACAAACGTCAGATATTGGAGCCTGAAATCGTAGAGCATGAGAAAGAACATTTGTGTCAGCCGAGTACTCCTGAATGAAGATAACAATTTCTGTAGCCCTTTGAATTTTCCTTTCGTGAAAGAATTTGTTTCGTGCAAACTAGATTGCCCAAAGAGCAATTATGATAGTTTTACGTTTTCTTGCATCTGAATTGTCAAAAATCCATCTTAACCAGGCAAGAAAATCATGGTCAATAATCCCTGTAGGCCAAGTAAGTCCCATACTTTTTCAAAAATATAATAAGCTAAAAAAACATGATTATCTTGAAATATGAATATTAGGTTATCCGTTATTTGAATCGATTTAAATTTTAATTTCTAAAATTAATAATACTAATTTTATCAATTTAAACATGTGTCCACATTTAATTTAAGTTTGAAGCTTATTTTCTTTAAATGTTTTAAATTTGAAAAATGATAAACAATTAAAACTCACTCAATCAAATTAAAACGACTTAAATCAAATAAAAAAGATGATTTTCATATCATTCAATTTTAATT